TCATTCACATGACATGTCACCCTCGGCTTCCGATGTCCTGTTTATTCTGGGAACCAGGTTGAAGAGCAGCCTCCATCTGAGACCCACCATTCTCATGAGAGAGAAATAAAAGAACAATGACAGAACGTCACAATGCCTCTTCAAGTGTCTGCTTGCACAGGGCTTATGTCACTTTCACTCACATTCAATTGGCCAAAGCAAGTCACATGCCCAAGACGGACATCAATGGGCAGGGAAGGAAATACTCCCCTCCCACAGGAGGCATGGCAAGTGAATAATTGGGAGCAGTCATTTAATCTATCACAATTCTCCTTCTCTGGTCTTCGATCTGCCAACTTCGACAAGCTATGCTTTTCATTTTATATTGTCAAGGTGGAAAATCTTTATATCCTCCTTTACATTAGTTATTATGAAACAGGTTTCAGTGCTTTGTCTATGTTTGGTGTTAGAAGATGAAAACCGCTGAGAAGCATTTACACTGTTACGACTAAGCAAATATTCTTCACTGCAGACTCGAGGAGAAGCTAAGTCCACAGCGTGCACCACTGTTCCAATGACAGACCCTATACACTTAGATAGCCTTTCTCACATGCCACCACTTGCTCAAAGTTGGGCCACATTTTTATTTACTTCATATTAGAGCTATGCCTTTCATGAAATTTTTTTTGTCTTTCCTGAAGTGACTGATTACCTCTTTTTATTGTTGGTAGAAGAAACACGTACCTCCTACACCATACCCCTAATAGCCTCCAAATTCTTCCTCACTCCTTGTATTGTTTAGAATCTTTCTATAATTTTGAAGCCTGCAGACCTCCTGATCTAGTTGCGTAGGTTACCTGATCTAATTACATAGCTTTTTGTCTTTATTGCAATTACTAATCATCTTCTGTTTTTCTTACTTTCTGGTGTGTGTTTTTTTTTAATCACAACTTTCATTTCTCTCAGTATTCCAATAATATTCTCCATTCTGTGGAATATTCCCTTCTCACACCATCTTCAAAGACCACTTTCCTGGGGCCTTCCATCCTCCCACACTAACGAAGACTGACTGCTCTCCAGGCCTACTGAACAATTTTATCCTGGGGATGCTTTTCATGGCTGCCCTGCAATGGTTCCACTATTTCCTGGATCTCATATCTTCTTTCTTGATTTACTCTGTTGTTTTGTTAAAATACATGCTCAATTAACTTCCTTAAAATGGCCAAGTAGGATGTAAACTTCCTTGGCTCTTGCCTGGGTATAAACTTCCAGGTCCAGGCCTGCCTCACTTACATATAAAATTAAGCTATTGGACCAGATGATCTCTGATGCCTATTCCCGGAGTCTAATTCTAGTTCATATGCATTCATAAATAACATACTATATCAAGGAGAAATTTTAAATGGTTACTGCGCTCAAGAAATTTACATTTAGACAGACAAAGAATAAACTCTTGAAACAGTAACAAAAAGTCAACAATACAAACAGTAAAAAAAAAAAAAAGTTAAAATAAAAAGATGCCACAAGGTAGGACATGATGAATATCAGTCAGAGCCTCAGGCCTAGAGGAAAGAGAGAGAAAAGAAGAGCCAGCCTGTGGTGCTCTTACCAGGGAAGCAAGACTTCGGCTGTGTGCCAAAGAGTAGGGCGGTATATGAGGGGCAGATGAAATATTTACGAATATTCAACAGTAAATTAATGGCCAACATTAGTGCAGCGGAATGGTTAACAGTCGATGGAAGCTCTCCTCTGTCCCACTTTCCCTGCCACCGTGAGAGTTATCAGCATTTTCATTTCACCAAGTCGATCAAGAGAGACATAAGTTTTAAACAGGAAAGTGTAATTTTACCCCTGACCAACAGACCAACTCTCTGGCCATTTGGGGGCATAACAATGAACTTTCATTACGTGTATGAGTACTTGTGTATATCCTTATAAATGCCCTACTTGTTAGACTATGAAGGTACAAGGTACAGTCAGTGGTCTTTATTAGTAGGGTGTCACTGAATAGGACTGGAGGGTGATAACTCTCTTCACCATCTTGCAGTTTTCAAATGTCTCTGTATTGTTCCAGCGAGGAGTCAGAGAACAGTCATAAATCGCTTCTCCTTCCCATCCACCCCCCAGGAGAGGAAACACCTCTTCTACAGCATAAGTGTTATCCCCGACATCACTGTTGCCTGGATCCAGAAGGCACCAGGGAATTGTAAAGACACGGCAGGTCCTGCAGACTGAATGGACCTGTGATACCTACACCAGAGAAAATTTGTGCCTTCGTGCATCCCAACATTTGCACTCTCATCCAATTTGCAAATGAAGAGAAGATTTGTAGGGAAAGAAGATTCCAGAAAAAAAGAGATCTTTGGGCCAGTGGTCTGCCCAGTTTCTAGAGAGCGGGAGTGAAGGGAGGATGAGCGTGGGGTCAGCGTGGGGTCACATGATGGATATTCTCAGCAAGGTCTAACCTAATACTACTGCTGCTAAAATACTGTTCCTGCTGCCGTCACAGCACTTACCAAATGTAAACAAAGTTTGCTGTCAATTTCCCTCAAATTTCCTCAGGTTTATGTCCTCTTGACTGATTTACTCACTGCTACATCCTCAGTGCCTAGCTTGTGGTGGGTACTCTGTGTTTGTGAAATAAATGAGTCAATGGATTGAAAGTAGCTGCATTTCCTCAAAGGGCAAAGCCAGACATGAATATTCACTTTTCACAGGATCTTCGGATAAGCCAAGAGGACCTGAAGATGTGGATGGAGAGGGAGGGATGGCCTGCAAGTTTTGCCTGGGCTGCATTGTCATCTGGAACTCCACTGTAGGTGGCGGGGGACAGAGAGATTAACAAGTTCTCATAGGAACAGTCCTAAAGGGCACCTCACACACACCCAGAGATGGGACCAGTAGTCAGCTCCGCAGAAGAGTCAAGGGCAAGAAGGCCCCACCATATGGGGAGCACTCCCTACGCGCCATACCCCTGAGCTCTATGCAATCTCATTCTATCCTCCCAGCAACCTGGAAAGGTAGGCATCCCCGATTCACAGATCAGAACCACCAAGGATCAGGCGTCCCCTTCAGCATGGAGATGGGCAGGGACCTGAGCACCCAGTCAAATCTATAATAACAACCAAAATACTAGGACAAAATGCCTGGATTCCAGCACTGAAAATTCAGAAGTCTATACCCCCACGTCTCACCTGTTTTATTACTTTTGTAGGTTGCTTTTTTTCTCCTAGCTTCTCTAAAAGGTTTCTCACAAAAATCTTCTAGGATTGTGATCTAACAAAGGGAAATATGAACAGGGGAAAGCTGGGTCTCCTAGGACAGGGGGGCAGCAGGGAGGGGGGCAGGGGGCCAGGGGAGTGGCAGCAGGGCTAAGGGTGGAAAAGGTACCTAGTGAGGTGAGATGCACAGGTGGGCAGCTGCTGCCTCCTGGGGGTGGCTGTCTCATCCAGCAGAGACGTGGTGCAGCCCCTGTTAGCTGGCATCAATTTGTTTGTTTCCTCAAAAGACAGTAGAGTGGCATTTACTTCACTGCTTTAAAAAAAAAAAGTGGAACCAAGACAATCCTGCTTATGATCATCACATTCCCAGAGAGAGGGAGAGGCAGCGTGTTTCTATTCCAGCAGGTGGGAATTTCTGATACAATTAAATTAACATCAGCTAGCCTCCTCACAATGTCTAAATGTGCAAAGAGCTGGCCTGATGACAAGGACTGGAGGGAGGGGCGCACCGCAAAAGGGGGAAACCTGCTCAGACAGACGTGCTGCTCTGGCCACCGCAGCCCCCTAGGCAGAAAGACAAGTAAGGGGAAAGTGAACACATCCTGCGTGGGTGGGTGTGGCCCTGGCCATCAGCCCCGCAGAGGCCCCTGCTAAGCTAAGAGCGAGGCCGTGAGAAAAGACGAAGTACAACAGAAAGCCGCTTCCAGCTGACCTCCCTCCTTGGGAACTTGGAGCCAGACGCTGGCAGCTCGCTGGCGCGCAGGGGCAGGCGTGCTCCTGGAGAGGGCACAGAAGTGCCTCCCTCTCCTCTCGCACGGAATTGGGGGTGGCGAGACCTCTTAGCACCAAGACAGCGGGTTCTGGAAGTCGGGGTAGCGGTGCAGACAGAGATTTGGGAGTGGCGATAAAAGAGGGAAGGTCAGAAAAACGTCTCATCCCCTCCTTTACGCACCCTTTGGCATCCCTATCTCTGTGATGGGTCTTTGTTTTAAAATTTGGGACACGGGTACCGTTTGAGTTCCTCCAGGAAGCCAGGGTGCGACACAGAATGACTTGGGTGCGCTCTCTACTTTTTCAGTAACGGAAGGGTGGGAGGGAGTTTGGGGCCACCTCTCACGTGCGGTCCAGACCCACAAGCATCCAAACTAATAAAAGCATCCCCTTGGCGCCCCGCGGGGTTGCTGCCGGAACCGCGGGAGCGCTGCAAAGTAGTGGAGGAGGCTCTCGGGCAAAAGCGTCCTCACCCGCACACGGTCCGCACCCCGTGAGTGCAAACGGGTCTGCCGGGTGTCCCCTAAGCCCCGCTTGTCCCTCTTTTCCCCAACTCGGCCGATTTCTTAGATGCCCAGGACTTGGTCGTCGCCACGCGCGGCCCGAGAGCTCCTCCTGCGTGGCCCCCCGCGCCCCTCAGAATAAAGGGCTTGACGGAGGGTGCGTGGCGGAGAGAAGGGGCAGGGTTTCGGGGCGCCTGGAGGGGAGCCTAGCAGGGCCAGGGGGGGCCATCCCCGCCGCCGCCCGCGTGCTCCAATTTTCCCAGCAAAGTTTCTGGCTCTTCTGAGCGGGACAACCTGGTTCACAGGTGGGAGAAGGTGAAAGGCGGGCGGGTGGCTCTGCGCCGCGCCACCCTCGGGGGCGCCCGCTCCACGCGCGGCCGCCACCTGCCACGGGGCGCCGGGAGGGCGGGCCGGCGGACGCACTTGCCGCCCGTGGGCGCTCCCCGAGGGTCTCTCCCCGTCCCCTCCTTGCCCGCCCTTCCGCGACGGGGCCCGGGACGCAGGGGTCGCGGCCGCCGCGTCTTACCCAGTCCCGGCACGAAAGTGTTGAGGAAGAGGCAGATGACGGCCACCGGAAAGGGCATGTAGGGGATGGCGGCGCGCAAGGGGCCCTTCTTCTCGCGGACCTGCACCACCACCCCGCTGGAGGAGGACGCCCCCCGGGGGTCCGCGGCCGCCACCGCCGCCGCCGCCGCCGCCGTCTCGGCATCTTTGTGCGAAGGCTCCATGGCGGGGCGCGCTCCCCGGGAGCCTGGCTGCCGCGGCCGGGGCTGCGGCCCAGCGCACAGGGGGCAGGGGTGGAGGGGGGGCGGCCGGCTCCGGGCTCTGGGCTGCGCGCCGAGCTCAGGCGGCCAGCGCGCTCCGGGTGCCGCGCGGCTCTCAGGGAACCCGCACTCCCGCGCCCCCGCGCACCCAGCCCTCCGCCGCGCTCTGCGCCGCGCTCCCGCACCTCCGGCGGAGGGCGGAGAGGGCGGCGTGACACTCGGTGACAGCCCGCCGACGCCCCTCCCAGCCGGGCCCCTTCCCCGCCCTTCTCTCCGCCCCCCACCCCACCCTCCTAAAAACACCACTCACAGATCAGGTCGAAGAGAAAGTGGAAGAGGAACACTGGGGGAGCCGGCTGTCCGGGTGCTGGAAGGGGTGGACGCACCTCGCCCTCTCCGCACAGGTAACGCGGGCGGGCACCGCGAATCGAGCGTGTGTGCCCGGCTGGCACTGTCGAGTCTGAGGCCTTGAATAAGGAGGAGGCACAGCACGCTCAGGGGATGGAGTCAAGAAACGCGCCGCGCCTGGTGCCTAGTAGGCCTTCAGTTCATTCTGATTTAAATGGGTTTGTCTTAACCGAGTAAAAGCGATCTCGGTAATAAGAGCGGAAAGCAGGAGACAGGTCTCCGCAAGACTAGTTAAAATGGGACTCTCCCCTACACACACACACACACACACACACACACACACACACACACACACACACACGAAAAACGGAAAGAAATGCGCCTGCTGCCGACAAGGAGGGATGCTGAGTACTATCCCCTGAATTGTCCGGGAGGAAAACCTGGAGCTTTTGTGTGCTCGACGTGGTGGCTAAAAAGCCAGCGAGGTCACAGCGCCGTCTCGTGTTGACAAGAGGATTCTGCCGTCCGCGCCTGAGCCTGAGCTGGCCGCAGGAGGCCCGTTATTGAATTCGATTTTCTGAATAATGCCGCCCTCACCTCCACACTTGGAAAAAGCGAATGCGTGAAAGAAACCGCCTCTTACGTTAGGGAAGGGCTCAATGCATTGGAATTATCCAGAAATTCAGCAAATTCAGAATAATTGGAAGAATTCAAATCCATTTCCTTCCCAGTAATCCCCCTTTTCTCCAGGAGTCACAGTGATTGAATGACCCCTAAAGCAGCCCAGGGGCTCAGAGGAAGGATGCTGAAAGACCATGGATTACTTTATGGGTATCCGAATAAAATAATTTTAAAAGAAGGTGGTCAGCAGGGATTAGAGGCAATAATGGTGCGTACACACACACACACACACACACACACACACACACTCACAGAAACCAGCTTAGGCCTGGCAGTCAGAGGTGAACAGAACTGAAAGTTTAAGTCTCTACTCAGCCACCAATTACCTATACGGTTTAGAAGAGCATTTAGCCTTTTCTAGGCTTGAGTTACTGTGACTGTAAAATCAAAGCAATATTCCATTTAATACACATGTATTGAAGGCCTAATATGACTCAGCTTCTGGGGAGAGAGAAAGGAGTAAAACCCTGACTTTAAGGATCTCATAGATGAGGGATACTAACAACTCCAAGGATAGAATTACAGTGACAAATGCCGTTACTGTGGGAAGCTGAAGGTGTTGAGAAAACATGGACCTGTCTGTGAATCCAGCTAGAGTGGGGGACGCATCAGGGAGGCCTCCCCAAGAAGGTGATACTGAGTGAGACTTGAGCAGGAACTAGAGGGAACTACCAGGAGATATGTTTTATTTTAAATACTTATTTATCCAAGCACTCCCTGCAGACACCATTCTAAGCACTTGACACATTTTAACTCATTAAACCCTTATCACAGCTCTATGAAGTATTATATATTATCCCATTTCACAGATGGGGAAATTGGAGCACAGAGAGGTTAAGGAATTTGCACAAAGTCACCCACTAGTAAGTGATAGAGCTGAGATTTGAATGCAGGCCATCTGGCTCCACAATCCATCTGTAGAACGGTTATTCAGACACCTAGAAAATAACCCACATATTTCTAACATTCTTTCACAGAGCACTTGAACGGTTTTAGGGCCACACAAACACTATTATTCCTGGAAGAAAGGATCTCAGGGAAGGAAGTGGACTTACAGCCCCCAATTCCCAGATGATTCGCTTAACATCTGGATGTTAGAAAGACATCCAAGCAAAGCAATAACATATACAAAGGCACAGAAGCTTAGAAGAGTAGGGAACATTCCAGGAATTACGATATGTCTGGGACCAGGGCTCGTGTGCACAGGGACATGAGTCGGCTCTGATGGGGTGGGCAAGAGCCTGGTAATGAAGGACAAAGGAATTTGGATTTTATCCTTGTGGCTATGTGACATCACTGGAACATTTTAAGCAGCCGTGTGTCAGGAGTGTTCCAGTTACTATTATGTATTATGTAACGAACCACCCAAAATGTAGTGACGTGGCTCCACCACTTTGTCATGATCACAGATTTTGTGGGGCTGGAACATGGACACAGCTGAGGTAGCTCTTCTTAGCTCTGTTATGTCTGGAGGTTCGGTTGAGAAGACTCAAATGGTGGCAACTGGAACAGCTAGGGCTAAAGGATTCACATCCAAAATGACTCCTCAGGCTGCTGCCTGAACTGGGATAACTCGAAAACTGACTCAGCTGAGACTGTTGGCTTGAGCACTTACACATGGCCTCTCCACGTGACTTGGCCTTTTCACAATATGGTGGTTGTGTTCTGAGAGGGAAACTTACTCAGACAGGGCCTCCAGACCAGGACCAGTAGAAGCTGCATGGACTTTCTACCCTAACCTTGGAAGTCACACAGTGTCACTTCTATGGACTATTGGTCGAAGCAGTCACAAGCCTGTATAGATTCAAATGGAGGACACCCTACCTCTCCATGGAGCAATGTCAAAGAATTTGGACCCCGGTTTTAAAACCACCATGAGATGTGGTTTTGAGGTAAGACCACTCAATCAACAGTGTGGAGGATGGAGTGGAGGGGGTAAAGTTGGGTCCATGAGAGGGGGACTCTTCCTAACTTACATGAATTGGGAATGAGGGAGGAATAGTTCCCAAATGAAAACTGATTATTATTAGCAAAGCGGAAAAGTTGAGTTTGAGGGTCTGAGGACATCCAAGCAGTGGCAGGCACTTGTTGACCAGCATGGACAATGATCTAGACAGAAATTGGATAGTTAGTCCATTTGGGACTCAGTAAAGCAATTTGGGCTGCAGATTTGGGAGCCATCAGCATATAAATGGTAGTTAAAGCTCTGTATACAAACGTGGAATAAGAAGAATAGAGGACCTGGGAGAGTCACTAGAAGGTACTATAAATTAAGCACAAAAGAAGAGGGAGAAAGAGGTTTAAAAAGGAGAGACACTAAGAATGTTTCATGGAAGCCAATAGAGGAAGATTTTGAGGAGCAGTCAGCAGTTTCAAATGCCACAGAGGGGTCAAGTAAGACCCC